CTCACAACAATGTCAGGCACTGAATAATTCCAGATTCTGAAAGCCTGAATATCTGTTCAGAAGCTTCAGGTTTCTACTAAAAGCTTCTACAACATCTGTCAGAAGCATTTCAGCCTGGAAGTCACATACAAATTCTCAAAGGTCTTGCACTTGCTTATTTTTAGAAACGAAAACAAAACCCAAAAAAACAAGTTTAAGATTATTTCAGTTACACTATTTTTAAGAGTTTCTTCTCATATTCAGTGATTTGACTGAACACATTTAGATTTTCTGAAATATAACCCACTTTTTCTTTTGCTTTGATTCACACTTTTTGGAACACTCCATGCTCAGCACAACATCTACTTCCTACGTATCTAGTGAGTCACTTTTTCAGGCACCTCTAAAAAAACCCAGCTTCATTAACTTGTAATTACTAAAAAAAAAAATAAAACCAAGATGAATTCTAATTATAATATTCTAATGTTATCACAGCATGAGAAATCCACTAGTTAACTAGGAGTTATTATGCTGTATCTACAAACACAGGAAGGAAGAGGCATTGCACCAGCTGTCTTTAAAAATATTACTATGCACAGAAAAAGTCCAAGTACAGATAATCCCACCACCATCTCCTTCTACCTTTATCATACACATATTTAGGCTTACATATAATGTTTAAAATATTTCAAAAAGCAAATCCAGCTTTAAGTACCTTCTTTTAATTGCTATGTATTGGTGATCCTGAAAACTCATTCTATTTTCAACCTTAATAATGCTGGTGTTACATAGACATTATCTCCCTGGGCAAATAACTTTTTCCATGCATAATTAAAGTGCCTTTATACAAAATAAACATTCACATCTTTCAACTTTAAATAACATGTTATCTTCAGCTTGGTCTACTTATGCAACAAATTTCAGTTCATACCTTCCTCTGCCTCAGGAAAAAAATTCTGTATTACTTTCCTTGGCATAGCTTACTGATGCTCCCTCTCTTCAGGTTCTACCCCTATTTACAGATAATACTGACAAAATTGTTTACAGACTATGTAGTAAACAGGATCACTCACATGATTCACTAAACAAAACTCCAAGCCCTCATGAAAAAAAAAAAAAATTAAGTATAACTGAAAGGCAGCTCAAGAGGCAACAGAGCCTGGAGTGGGTGACTGGTAGTGCCTGAAACTGGTATTGCCAAAGTCCAACTTATGAAACTGTAGTCCCAGATCATTAACAAACTATTTTGAAATGTCTGAAGGTTTTTCTCATTACTAAATTAACATTTGAAGCTATTTTATCTTTCAAAAAATCCAGAATTGATTAATGTCCTATATATAAGGTTCTAAGAAATGTTTACAAGACTCTGACAAGGAGAATTTGTGCAGGTTTAAATATAGGTCATTGATAGGATAATGACAATTTCCTAAATGAGATGTGCTTATTAGCAGTTATGTAAACAATGATAATTGATGTTCCTGCACGTAAATGTTCTGGCATGATTTTGTTTGTATTTTGAAAACACCACAGAATTTTTTAAGTAGTTCTTGTGATTCAAGATCAAGCCTGTATTTATCTGTGTCTTCCACCTGCCTTTTCACAACAGCATTTGACACCTGTAACATGTAATGGTGCATTTGCCCCACCCTGTTAACTGTCTCACAATTTACCACTGCCATACTCAACCAGATCAAAAGCCAGTCCATACAGCCAACAACCAAGCACAGAATCTGAAATTCTCCTCACTGCTCTACCTGTGCTTTAAACCTTTTACAACACCACATCTAACACGCAATACGAATGGATTCCAGGGCACGATCACAAACCCATTCTTTAGTTGTTTACTATGGCTACAGATGCCCACTTTGGCAATTTTCATCAGACCTCTGTCAAATGTTCACATGGTGTTATCCCAAGAACTATCAAACACAAACCTTTTAATTACCACTAGTACTAAGATTTTAAAACAGATAAATGAGTAAGCATATAATTTTTTTACCTATATTAGAAAAGCCAAAGCTAACTGAAATTTAAAAATAAACACAAATCCTCATAGCTGATGGCTTTTGAAGCTTGTCTATCAGTTAGCAGACTTGCTCAACACTCAGTGCTTTCTCAAATTAACCAACCTGAAAATGAGAGATCATATTTGTAACCACAATAGTGCACGTGGGGGTCTTAAAATCTTGTAAATTGTAAGAAATGTTGATAAAAAAGCTATATGCATAATACTTTCTAATTTAAAAAGGGCACAATAAATTGGAGCATTTTACTTTGTTGAATCAAAAAAGAAAGAAAGGGTAAAGACTAAACTGAAAGTATTTCAAGCACTTAAGTTTTCTAGAATCCAAGAATGCACATCATATACACAAGAGAGTCAAAGCAAGATGCTTAATGAAACATTTAATACAGATAGCAGTTTGCACAATTACCTGCAGGTAACTTGAAAGCCATAATCCAGCCCTAAGAAATTAAATGCTTGTCTTGTCCCATCATGTCCAAGCATTGCGTAATACAGGATAGTTAACAATGGAAGGTTTAAGAACTTTGACTGCGTTGTACTGCTCCTCATGCTGTGTCATACTACTGAAAAATCTGCATGAATTACAGACCATATTATTCTTAAAATCCAGAGCTACACTGACTGCATTTCATAGAAGGACTTGGTGCGAAGCTGAAAACCAGCTGACTCAGAATATGTTACATTCTAGAGTTTAACATCAATATAGTTGGGGAAAAAATACAAGGCTGAGTGACTGCAGTCTGCCCTTTGTTAATTTTTCGTTGGATATTTAAAATTAACTTGACAGTCATTAAGTAAAACAACTTTACTTGTCCCAGTTCAATCCCTAGTGGACAAAACATGCACTACAGAACCCCTCAATTTTGCTTAACAAGACTGCCAGACTTGAGAGAGGAACAGTTAAGAACACAGGATGTATTTGAAAACAAGTTTCACTTACAATAATACTATATCATGAATGCCATCCATTACACTCCTGTTGCCAGTAATAAACCTCCTATCAGAACCAAACAAACCACTCCACAAAATTTTGAAAGGACAAGTAGGAGGAGTGCCAAACAAGCACAGAATCTTTTTAAAATCCATTTTTCAATGCTCCTCACAATCAATTTTCACACACCAATAAAACAGTAATTTCTCTGCATTTGAAAAAAATACTATTACACCACTATATTGATACAATGTTCTTTCACATTTGCACGTCTCACCTCAAAATCACCTATTTCCAGTAATAAATAAGCAAAGCCTTTCAACTAACCATTTTCAACTGTTAGCTTCATATACTTTTCATAATAGTCAAAGTTTCTGCTTATTAAGAAATTACCAACTTACCTGGAAAGCTACCACTTGAAAACAAATCCTACTCCTGCCCTATGCAACCATATTTATGACAACAAAACCAGAGCGATCCGCAATGCACAGGGAGCTGCTAGAACAAACGTGCAGCTCCAGTGTTGTTTAAATGAACATCTTACCTTGCCTGTCTTGTGGTCAAACCAGACAAGAGCATGGTTCCTGGACAGCACCTTGCAGTCAAACGTGGCGTTGTTCTGGGCTGGCCGGCAGCGAGCCACGGAGCGGCCGATCTTGACGGGCTCGTCCAGGTAGACATGACGCTCCTGAAACGGGTGGGAGTTCGGGCGGCAGGTGAAGATGGCCAAGGCTGAAGGCATCGAGGACAGATTGTGGTTGCCACACCAACCAGAGATGAAGAGAGCCTCTTCTGATGCAGACTGTCCTCCACAGTTTTAAAAACACCTCCACAGCAACTTTATATTAAAGCAGGACAAATATTATCATGAGAGGCCTAACAACTCATGGTTTCAGTGTGTAAACTAATTCTGGCAATAATCCAGTGAAAAAGTCCCATTATGTCTTTTAATAATATCAGCAGTGGCCCAAAAAAAGTCTAAAACGTACAACTTTCAATCCATCCTCCTCTGGAAGAATAGGAAAAAGCATCTGATTCCTTCAGAGAGAAGCAAAGGCCCCGTGAAAGAAGGATACAATCTCTTAAATCCAAGTAGATGAGTCATACAAGTACTTTTGTTTGTAACCTCAACTGCCTTCTTCCCCCCCCCTTCCGTAAACAACACTGACCAAAAGTCTGACCAATGCAACATGGAAGCAAGGAAAGGGTTAGGGAAGGGGGATGAAGGAGAAAGATTAGCGTCCCCTCACACACGGCACAGATCAGGAACTGGAAGGTGAATACAAAGCCCTCGTTCCACAACAGGGACCTAATGGTTCACCCAGCAGTCGGCATTTCACCATCTTCGTGTGTTAAACCCCAGCAGAATAGGTGGTCCTCGATACAGGATGGAGTGCGAGAGCTACGCTGTTTTCCTCCCTCACACCAGATAAAGCTGAACTGGTCTAGAGCTCCCGGGAGCCGCTCAGATAATGAACTTGATAAGGCATGGAGAGGCTCCCAACTCGCCTTCTCCCGGGGACAAACCAGCGCGTGGGAAGGTTCTCGGGGCCGGCCTGCGAGGCTCCCTGACAGGTCGCTCCCCGGCGGCGGCTCCGGCTGGCGGCGGGGTCGGTGCGCGTCCCTCGGCGGCGGCTCCGCAGGGCCGGGCAACGGGGGCTGCCCCGGCGAGCGCTCGCCAGGAGCCCCCGGCGCGGCGGCGGCGGCTCCGCTCAGCCCCTCCGCAGGTGACTGCGCATGAGGCGGGCCCGCTGCGCACCCCCGCGCTCTCCGCCCGCCCAGTGCGGCTCCGCTGCCCCGGCGGCGGGAGAGGCCTGGCGGCCGGGCCCGGGCGCTCCCGCTCGCTCGCTCGCTCTGCCGCTCAGGAGGCCACCGGCCGCGGGAAGTTTCCTCCAACCTGCGGGGCCCAAAGCAAACCGGGTCAGGCGCGTCCCTCAGCGCGTCCCCCCGCGTCTCCTCGGCCCCGCGGGCGGCACGGGACGCGCCCCGCTCCCCCCTTACCTTGCGCGCAGCCGCCGCCATAGCGCCTGGAGCCCTTCCCGGTGTGGCCGCGGCGGCGGGGCCGGNCCTCGCGCATGCGCCCTGCGCGCGGTGAGGCTGCGGCACGGGCGGGCCACGCCCCGCTCCGGGCGCGCGGGAGGGGGCGGCGGGCCGGGCCGGGAGGGCTGAGGGGAAAGGGGACAGGGGTCGGTGTTCCCCCGGAACGGCACGGCCGGGGCGGGAGGTGAGTGAGCCCCAGCCCCGTGCCGTCCTTTGCCCTCGCTGTTCTCAGCTCTGGGAGGGAGGGGGCGAGCGGTCAGCCCTTATAAATAATGGCCCGAAGTTGTGTCAGGGAGGTTTAGGTTGGATTTTAGGAGAAGGCTTTTCACGCAGAGGGTGGTCGAGCACTGGAATCGGCTCCCCAGGGAAGTGGTCATGGCCCCAAGGCTGCCGCTTCACAAACCTTCACAAATCACGGCGGGATTCCTGGGGCACCGTGCGCAGGGCCAGGAGTTGGACTCGATCTGATTCCAACTCAGAATATTTTGTGTTTCTGTGGAAAGGTGGAGCTCAGGGGAGGAGCTGGGGTTACACGCGCTCGGCAGAGCCTGCAGGAGTCTGGTGAACATCCTCCTGCTTTCCCTGTGCACGTCCGGTCGTTTCATGGTCCAAGCTTAGGAAGCGAGGGAGGCGCGGTGTGGTTTGGTGTGTCAGGGGCCGAGGAACCCTGCCCGTGTTTGCCGTGTCTTGTTGCAGGTTGGCAGCTGGAGCAGGGGGATTCCTGGAGCGACAGGACTGAGGCAGAGTCACTGGTGCTGTGTCTTCCTTCAGGTGCCATGGAGCATCACCCAAGGTCATATTTATGCCTGTTTTCTAGAAGCCAAGGAAAGGTCACTTGTCAAGGTCATCTGGTGCCGAACGAGTCTCTCCAGTCCAAATACATTTTTAATTCCGTCATTCCCTGTAAAGCAAACAAGTGGGAATTGTTGATGTAAGATAGATGTTGGGGTCGTGCCAGCACTATAATTACCCTGTGACAGGGTGTTAGGATTAGGGGTATGGGGGATGGCAGAAAGGGCTGGCAGCCGTGGAGGACAGAAGAGGAGCTGGGCCAGGCACTTCAGCAGTGGATGAGGGGAAAAGCAGCGATCAAGGTAAGGCAGTGCCGTGTATGACACAAAGCATGACTGCTGTGTTCTTAGTTGTAGCACAGTAAAGTCTCAGGGCTGCCTTCATTTTTTTTCCCTTTGTTTTTGACTGAATTGTGATTTGGGGAAGGGAGGTTAATTCATAACAGACTAGTTTTTTTCCAACAATCCAGTGAGAAAACAACAGCAAAATAGTCTGTACCATTTGTGTTTCAAACAGAGAAATGAAATCCAAGATTAAAGACGAGTCTGATTTTGTGAAGACAAAACCAAATAACTGATAGGTGGAATGTTTAGAACTGTTTATCCGTAGTTTTAATTCTCCTGACAGGGAAAAAAAATCTGGCACGTCACTTCATGGCTTTCATCAGCTTATGAGATTGTACTACTCTGATAATCATAATTTGCTCTTATTAATTTTTTAAATAAGTGGAAATTTAGTGTGGCTGTTGCCTACAGCACACAAGGTGCCATAACTAATCAAAGAGAGAAGGAAAGATATAAAAAGAAGATGGAGAAAGAATAAATTTAGGTCCATGAGGAGTTACATTTGAGGGAATGAGTTGAACAAGTAGAAATAATTGAGAGCACTTTGGAATTGCAAAGTGTAAAAAGTGGGCACAAAGGGTACTACAGGTGTTGGAATGAAAATAATGTTTCTGAGAGCATTTTTTATATTTTTGTGTGCATGTTTAATGGAGAAAGGAGACTGGAAGTAAAATTAGAGATGAAAAAGATTCATTACCATCTACAGGGCCTAAGAGAATCAGGTAAAATAATAAACTGAGCAGTGGATACATTTCTCTGATGTTCTAAGTATGTATAATAACATAATAATAATATAATATAACTGTGTCATTTAAACTGTAAGCCACTGGCATATTATATTTTCCTGAACCCTTCTTCATCCCCTGGAGAAATCCCACTGTGACAGGCTCACAGAATGGTATGAGAAAACTAGCTGGCAATGGTATGTGCCTTTCTAGTTCTCTTTGGCACTGCCAAGAGGCTCATGGAACAGCTGAGCTGTGCCCCCTGCTCATGGAGGACATTAACTTGACCCTTCCCTCTCTGCATGAGTGCCAGCTCTCAGTGGAGCTGCATGGGTGTAGTTATCCCTCAGCCTTCTCAACTCCTATTTCAAAATGCCTGATGAGTTCAGAAGTTATCAGGGGCAGAGTCAGAGGCTAAGACGAAAATCCAGAAAGCAGTTGCATTCTGAAATGAGGATACAGTTGTTGTATGGGGATTTTGTGAGGTGTCTGCTGCTTACCAGAGAGTGTCCATCCCAGAACTGGAAAGCAACAGGTGGATGAGGAGTTCTGTGTGAAGTGTTGCCTGCTGTGCTGTGCTGTGCTGTGCTCGGAGGAGGAGGAGAAACAGGAGGAGGAGGGAGGAAGCCTCAGCTCCTTCTGCTTGGTTTCTGCCGACGCTGTCACACAGGCGAGCAGGGAAGCACCTCGCAGCCATGTTAGGTAAGGGCAGCAGGAGGCAGCTGTGTCCCTCCTTTTTCTGGGCAGGAAGTCCATGAAAATGTTGTGATAGCCATCATAGCTGAGGGCAGAAAGAGCCCGTCCCATGCCATCTTGGATAAGGGAAGGGGAGCTCTTTAAGGGACTGTGTCACTGTCACATTTGTCCCTTAAAGAGCTGGTGTCTGTTTCAGGAGGATGAAATGCAGCTGAGATAGTTCATGTGCATACCTGCAAAACATCTAGATTTTGGCTTCTAAAATATTCTGAACCAAGCTGTCAAAAAGTAAGGAAATGTTTCAGAGAAGTTTTCTCCAGTGTTAAAAAAATTGGTTCTAATTATCACCCCAGATTTAGTGAAGGGTTACAGATTTTTATTTTAGTGCTATTCTTGTTCTTTAGTGTCAGACTTATTTTCTGTTTGTGATCTTTTAACTCCCTGACTGGTTATGTAAAGAACAATTGCATTATCTTTCAGCATTAATTTTGAAAGAATAAGCAATTCTAGCAGTCTAATCCTCTCTTGTCAGGTTGGTTCTCCATTTATTCCGTTTTCTTTCAGATCCTTCCCTGCTCCTATTTCCGATTTGCATTAAAAAAAGGATACTTGTATCCAGTATATAAATGAGAGTCTTACCAACATAACATTTACATTAATGTAATTTATGTAATGAGCATATACTGAATTGTGCTATTCAATTTAGATTATGTAATAAATATTAATGTTTTATATAATTATTTAAAATCTATTCTTTATTATGTGGTATATATCCTGTTTTTATATATAATGTACATTGCATAGTATGTTGATAATACATGTATTTGGTATATATACATAAGTATAATGTAACAGGCATACCATTAATACATGTTGTGCTAATATATAGCTAATTTTACATGCAGTGTTTTTTCATTTCAAATTAAATCAGGCAAGTTGAAATACCTGGCATTTTCACTGCTTTATCATTTTAGCAGAACATAGTCATCATGTGGCCACCTCCTATTTGCTTTTCTCTTCATATATCAATGTAACAGTCAATATTAATTTTGACTTTTTGAAATGTTTGATGTTTTCTGTGGCTGTTTGAAAAATGGAAAAGATTATTTTAAAATAATTATGGTTTTTGTGTGTGTTTATTTATTTTAACTTAATGTATTTATTAGCCTAAATATAATTTTCAAATACAAATAAAATACTGCCTTAAACTGAAATCTCGAGGCGGGGGATGGCGGGGAAGATGAGCTGAGCAGATGATGTTTATGCAGTTTTTGGTGTTTCTCTGTGCATGTGAGCAGCCTGCACAGTCACTCCCTGCTGGAGCTGGTGGCACCTGGCCAGCCAGCAGCCAACACAACATTTGCTGCTACCTGATAGAAACCACCCTGCTGAGGGACGCGGGGCAGCGCCGTGGAGATGGCAGCTGTAGCAGCAAGATAGAGCATGGAAGAAAGCAAGGCAGGCTCAAACACTGAGCACTTGTGGGTCTTTAGAACCCAGCTGTCCCACATGGGCCTTTTCTCATTTTTATTCCAGCAACTGACATCAAGGGCATGCTTTTTCTAGCAGTGTCTCTTGTCCAAACCCTTCCAGATACTAGCAGATGGCTGTATTTCTGCAAAACAAGGCAGAGTTCCTGGAGATTTGTAAGGCACATTCCATATGCAGAGCCCTAGTTTTATGAGGCTTTATTGTAAGTTGTAGCAAAATGCTCTCAGTTAGGTGGTTCCCAACTCTGAAGTCTGTTTTTTGTCCTGCATTGATGCTTCTTGAAGAAGAAACGCAGATGTTTCTAAATGTTACAATACACACAGAAATATTTTTCTTTCTCAACTGAAGGAGATATCACATTTTATCAAAACTAAAATGTATTTTAAATGACTATGTGAAAATCTTTCTGAATCACTGTTTATTGGGAATATCTCCAGTAGGTAAGAATCCTTTCCTCTGTACTTTTTTATCAGGGATTGTGTGTCTATTCTCTTAACCTTCTCCTGCCAAAAGATTATTTGTTAAGCATCCAGTGGAGTTAATTTACTGTTTAATAAAATGTATCACTCTTAGTAAGTACTTTATTTTTATTATTTCACATGGATACACTTACCTTTTTTATTCACATGGAAATTTAAAAAGGGGCCAGGAAAAACTAGAAGGACATGCATGATGATAATAGCTAAAACTTTTTGTTAGCCCATGACAGCAAGAATATAAACAAGGGAAGGCTTATAAGAGGCAGTGACATGAAATATTTTCTTAAACCAAGTGATAAAAGCTTTTGGGCAGGCCATTTAAGTTCTTAAATGGAAACAGCAAATGAAATTCCACTGAGACTCATTGCGCTGAGTTTGAACTTGATTAAGCTCAGTCTTAGTCATGTCTTTTTGTTGAGAGTAATCTGCAGAATTTAGGAATTAACTACTTGAAAAATGTGTGAGTGTTGCATGGTATCACTGTAAAATACCTGAAGCAGCTGGAGACAGAGAGAACCTTCTCACAGAGCCTGCCCGAGGCTGCACACTGCAGAACCCCATTCCTATCTCAGCCTATCTAACATTCACTTTGCTGCTCATGCTTTGTGATAACTGAAGGCTGCTGTATCTCAAGTTATTACCATGATAATTTTGTGTTATAATTTTCTCTGAGTTATATGTTTGTTCATCTTTTGTCTAGAAAATTACTCCAATGATCAAAGCATACTTTAATTTCTAGCAGTTTGCTTTTGATAGGTAAACAAATGTTAATGGGCCTTAAGGAAACTGTGCAACAGAGCAAGGAGTCCTACGTTTTCTTTTAAGTATGTATAGATTTATTATCTTGGTTTTAATATTTACAACTCCTGTTCTGGAGAAAAAATAGCAGGTAGTGATTCAGGTGGCAGCTCATCCACACCTGCTGCTGCTGAAGCTGTTCTAGTAGCAGTCAACCAAAAGCCTAGTGTGAATAATTTAATTAAAAGAGGTCAGGAGTTCTAGGGGAGGTGAGTGCATGATTTTTTTTTCTTTTTTTCTTTTTTGTTAAATAAAGTAGCTATTTAGCACTTTTAACTCTACAAAATGTTTCATAATGAAATATAAATAGCTGTTGGACTGTGCCAAAAGAATATTTGAAAGCTCTTACATTATTAAAGCGCTTGGGCTTTGGCTAAGGCACTAAAAGAGGGTTTAAGAGATTTGGATGCTTTTTTTTATTATCCCAGTTTCCCGTGAGGCTGAAGCTGTCCAGAGGGGTGTTTCCATGTCCCTGCCGTGCGGTGCTCAGCCGCGCACGGCTCACGATGGAGACACAGCCTGTTAATAACACGGCGGCCCCAGCAGCTGCTGTCACTGACGTGCTAAAGGGAAAAGAAACCCGACTGATCCGTTGCCTGCAGCGCTGCCCTCGCGAGCACCCGGCTAAGCAGCGGCGGGGCGGGCTCCCCGGGGCCGGGTGCGGTGCCTGCAGCCCCGAGAGAGGAGCCGCTTTCCCCCGCTCGGAGGGGCCGCGCCGGGCCGGGCCGGGCCGGGCGCACCGCGGCCCTTCCCTGGCGGGCCGCGCGGGGGCGCTCCCTCCCTACGGCCCCCACCCCCCCGCGCTCCCCGCTGGAATGGTTTGGCCTCCCCTCGGTGCCCGCTTGGCCCCTCCCACTCCGAGCGGCTCCGGGGGGAGCGGGCGGGGCGACGCGAGTCACCTGACTCCGCGCGGCGGGGCCGGGGTCGGGGCCATGTCGCGGCGGGAGCGCGGCCCGGAGTCAGGGCCGGCTGGTGCCGAGGTGGCTGCCGAGGATGCGGAGCCGGAGAGTCCCGACCAGTGCCTGTCGCTGCTGCCATGGGACCGCTTCTCAGCCTGGCTGCACTGCGTGTGCGTGGTGGGCTTCGACCTGGAGCTGGGCCAGGCCGTGGAGGTACGTGCGGCGGCGGGCGGGGGGCAGCGCTCGCCCTGCGGGCTGCGGCGGGGCCCCGCCGGAATCGGGCGCTTCCTCTGGCCCCGGTGTTGCACAGAGGCGGGGGAAGCTCGGCCGTGCTTGAGGAAGCGTGGTTGGACGGAGTCCTGGAGCGGAGAGCGGCTCGGCTGTCCCGGGCGAGGCTGGTGCGGCTCTGCTCATGGTGCCGCTTGTGCTGGCAGTGAGCTCTTGTAAATGGCTTGCATTGCATCCCCAGATTTGTATGAAAGACATCGCCGGCTTTCTTTGCGTACGAATAGCGCTGATTTCTATGGCTTGTAGGTGTTAAAAAGTGTGATAATAAGGGGAATGTGAGTGATCTCTTTATAATTAACAGCGTTCTCCGGGTCGCTGAGGTGTGCGAAAAGGTTCTGTACAGGTTTGAAGTGTTTTCCTTCAGCACAAGCTGGATGCCGGCCCGTGGCAGTGTCACAGCTACGGCTGCGGCTCCCAGCTGTGCCCTCTGTGCAACAGGCAGGGACAGCTGTGGCACTGCTTTGGGAGGGACAGGGACAGCTGTGGCACTGCTTGGGGAGGGACAGGGAGAAGGACAGCTGTGGCACCGCTTAGGCAGGGCAGGGACAGCTCTGGCACTGCTTGGGCAGCGACAGGGACAGGGGCAGCTGTGGCACTGCTTTGGGAGGGACAGGGACAGCTGTGGCGCCGCTTGGGGAGGGCGCAGTGCTGGGAAATGAGAGAAGAATTACTGCTGGGGTCAGTTTCACATCCTGTTTCACCCTGTTCTCCGTGTGACTGCGCAGCGAACTCTTGGTCTGCAGGGAAAGTCTGTTTTTCTTTCTCTTGCCTTAAAGGGGTGCCAGCGTAAATGCATGGCAGACTGGCCTAAAGTTCAGCCAAGCTATTACAGTATGTCAAATACAAGACTGTTGGCCACAAAGAAATGCAGATAAAACCAGGATACTGTGCTGATTATCTGAGTTCTCTTCCCTTGATGTTATAAGGTGGTGGTAACAACAAAGACAAACGATTCTGTATAACCTGTGACTTGGGCAGCTCTTGTGCTCAGTGGCTGAGGGAAGCACAGCCTCTGTCCTGGCTGAGACTTCTCAGTTGACAGTCACATTCATTTAACTGGATGCATAAAAATGAGACTTAAAATGTCTACAGAACTAAGGCCTGTTTTTTGGGTTTTGTTTTTGGTTTTTGGTTTTTTTTCCCAGTATGCAGCTGCAGGAAGAATAATTAGCTTCAGTTTATATAGGAGTTCTGGGAAGAAACACCTGCTAGTGAGAACAAGTATGAGTTCAAGTCTGTATGCCAGTCTTCTGAGTAAGGTGGATAATTCAGCATCATTCAGCTTCTGAAAGTTACATTAGGTGTACAGCTACTTAGCATAAGATAGCAAAGGAAAGTATTAAGAGTTGGAAAAGAGACAGTGATACGTTTACTACATGCAGAATGCAGGTGTTCCAGTGGTGTCTGCTTTCAGCTTCAGTTGTACTAACAATGTCTTACACAGCTGGGCACCATTTGATAGGAGACTGAGGGGAAAAAATGCACTGGAGACTTTATGGCTGAAGGACAGAAAGGTGCTTAGTCAGAGATCAGCCAGTGGGTAGATCTGTTGTTTTCTATAGAGTAGGATAGTGTTGTGTTACCAGGAAATAAATTTACTTACATTTAGTAGAACAAGATTAAATGAGATAATGGGATGTTAGCTGTAAGGTAAGATGAGAACTGCATGGAGCTACTGTTCCTGCATTCAACTTCTGCTCTTCAACTGGGTTCCGTCTTTGGAAGCCCTGAAACCTTCTTTGAAACATAATCCTGGAATTTCTGTCAAATTTCCTCTGCTAGCCACACATTTCAGGAGTTTTGGAGTGGGTTGTTTTGAGGACCTTTTTAGGTGAAATTTAGGTGTCTGAGGTTTGTACTCTTTCTCTATGTTCTGTTCCCACCTGCTTGCACAATCACTGATTTTGTACATCCTTTCATTTCTGAAGTAATTGTGCTTCCGCTTCTGAGTTGTGTTGCATCATTTTTTTGTTTCTGTGTTGTGTGAACTTACTACATGTTCTGTTTGTTTTTCTGTAAGTACAAAAAGCCATGACATTGAGTTTCCACAGTTGTCGTTAGGGGCTAGCGTTCATCCTCCAAGAGCTGGTAAAAATAGAGATCATGTTTTGTGGTTGAATTTTGGTTACTCCAGCCGAACTTTTGATTGCAACA